AGTCAGCAAAACAACTTTTGGGCGTTGCGTCCATTGCACCCGTATTTTCCTCGCCAACCTGTTGGTTGGGAGATTGCGCATTCATGGCTCAAGTGCTCACACCGGGTTCTGGCACTGGCTGGCTGCCAACAAGTTCGATCGTGCACCAGACAGCCTTCGGCTCCGCATCACGAAGCGGTTTCAAAACTAATTTGGCAACTCTGGTCCCTGAATGACATACGGGAACATGAGGGAACAAACTCCCGACTCCAGTTTCCAGACAGCTCGAAGCGTGTGTCATCGCATGACGCATTTTTCTTGAAAAAACATTTTTCGTGTTGCTGCTCAAAATTCCCCACCATCCTATGCAAGCTGAGCGTTTGTGCTGCATTGGCCATCCAACACATTGCATGATTGATTCATTCACTCGCTCACTCAACGCCCCGAGTTCGGTGACACATGGGCATGTATGGTGACAGTTGTGAGTTGATTGGGGCAAAGAATTTCCATGCAACTCAACACAATGAAACTTGCAACAAATAAAGAATACAAAGCCGCCACTGCGCTTGACCGCATGTTCGCTACAACAGCGGAGGCATTGCAAAAGTGCGCTGCGCAGGAACGAGGATCTCAATGCTTGTGCGGAAACATTTGCGTGTTCGGCCAAGCTTCATGGAATTGTTGTTTTTGAATTTCGCGGCTTGGCTCAGTTCAATGTCATGCAGGATGAAGGGATGACGCATCAACAGTCCACAATCGAGCACCCGACGCTTTTATGGTTTCAGAGGCGCACCTTGTAACAAAATCAATGAATCAGCGCCAAACATACATGTTCGCCCGCCATCACCGTGGGGTAGCTTTCGCACGTTGTGGAAAAGCATAAGCTGGTGGCAAGCCAAAGTTTTCGAGCAACACCGTGCTGATGAAAAATGCGGAATGCCAAGAGTTGTTCGAAGACATTCCGCATGAAAACCGTGCAATTTCCTGAGCTTTGCCTTGTTCAGCCAGGCCGTATGCAAACAATACCGCAGTTGTGAACCAATGCGGGTATTGAAAATCTGAATTTTCCGATGCTGCGAAATGTTAGCATGCTTCCAAACCCCTCCGGAAGTTGCACGTGTTCAGGCCCCAAGAAGATAGTGCAAAAAAGGCAGGTCTTGTGAAACCTTTATCCAACACAACATTTCAGGTCCAGCATCCCAAAAACAAGTCCCGAGTTTGAAGCCAACAATTTTGATTTAGAACCCTTTTCAACTATTCAGAATTGCAACAGTTGGACACCTCTTTAGGGAAGGGGGTTCGGAATAAAAGAACTTTCCGAAGAATCGATTCAAAGGGCAGGGGGTCGGTATAAAACCCTTCAGGGCCAACATACAAAGTCTGGTCAACGTCAGACACATGGGCCCGCAAGCGTGGAAACACCTGCTCACGGAGTGAAAGGACGTGATGAACTCTGTGCCGCCACACTTGTGGCGTAAGCCCATTATAAACTGGGCCTCACACTACACATTTGACATTGTCGTTCAAACCCGACGGACCCATATGGACCAGTCTCTTACCTGACAATGGCCTGACCACGGGTTGTCACAGCACATGTAACAATGATTCTTCATCGAAGACCTTGCAAAACCAGAAGGGGTGAAAACACATGGCCACAAATTTTATCGTGTTTGCACCCTTGGTTTGGAAATATGCAACTTGCACATGCTTGCTGTTTGCAATAACTCCGCTGTAATTGCAGAACTTGTCGTCGGGTCAAATAACAACAAGTAACCAGAAATCGTGCACATTGTGCTCTGCAATGCGCCCTTGCGGCCTCTTGAAATCTTAGCCGAAGAAAGGCTGGGGCAATTGACATTTCCGCGAGCGTTTTGATTGATCGCTCCACTTGCGTCCAGTCCAAGACATCCCTCCAGTCACCTGAGTTCGGCAATTGAATGCAAAATGTTGAATTCAAACATGCAAGTCGCAAATTATGCAGCAACGGTCTGCAAAGTACCATGCAAGTTGCTTTACTGGAGAACATTCAAACAAAGAGTATTCAAAGGGGCTACGGCCCCAAATTTCATCAAATGTCCGCGCACTTGTCAAGTGTTGTCAAAAATCGATGCTCGAGGCATGTTGGGCAGTCCACGGTACAAGCAAATGGCGACAACCGACGTCCTAACAAACACAAAAACAGCTCGGATAATATGTTTTCAAAGTGCTGCGCGTCATTTTTTCTCACATTGATACAACCCTCCCATGTTCGCATCTCAATCTGTTGACATACATCACAGGATCGCATCCTCGTGACCGCGGCTCTCCAATTTCATGGTTTGCGGCGGGGCGAACGTGACATTCTGAGGGCATGCGATCGGTGCGCCCGGGATGTTGAAATTCAGGGGGGGACGTGAGATGAAATATCAGTCAAATGGTCGTCCGGCCAGAGAATGAGGGCAACATCTGCAGCGTTTCAGGTGCTGCGGCGCATTTGACAAACGTTTGGTTTCAAGGTGCGGCGTAACAACAGCGAGTTGGTCCGTTCAAAGCAATTGAGGCATTGGTGATGCTCAAGCGTCGGGGGTAGTGATGTGTTGAGTGGAAAGCTCCCCCAGATTTTGACCATGTAATGGGTTGAAATAGGTGGAAGCATTTCAGAATTTAAACGTGCATTTGACAAGACAGATGTTGGAACTGTTTCCGGCAAATGGCTGCTGGCTCGCGAAGTATGGTTGCGGCTGGCAGCCTTCCAACATGCCTCATAATGTAGGTGGTCTCCGACCCTGTGGTGCCACCCCAGTGCTGGCAGCGATTTCTGTGGTTTAACACATGACTAAACATAGTTCTTCAACCATTGAATTACAATTAGGCCGACCCCGAACTACTGCTGTCGGCCCTCTGCGCTTAATAAAGAACGTCCGGTTTTGCGCTGTTTGATCGCAGCATGGTTTGTGTTTCCAATGAAACGCAGGAAAGCCTTGATCCCAGAACGGGTCACAGGGGGGTTTTGCCCCCAAAATGGCCAAAATTGAGTAAACGTTGTTACTTCAGAATTATTTGGTCACGACGCTGTCCCCCTGGCGCCGGAATAATATCAAAGGTGTTAGCAACCTCCCCACCCCCCAACGTTAAGCAGCTTGAGCCGGAAAACTGCACAGCCTTTCCATTTGAGACATTTCGCCCTCAAGGCCTTTGGGCATGTTCACGCAACCAATACGAAATTTAAAAAACTTTGCGAAAGCAACAAGCACGGCACGCCGTGCAGTACCATCTCCCGCAGGACATGACCGAATGTGAGCCGGGCATGGCAAGGGCCAACGAATGCAGGTGTCAAAGAAGTGGGGCGCCCCGCCCCGCGCACACCGCCAGGCTGCTCCAGTGGCGGGGCGAACATGCTACAACGCGCACTAACTGTTTCTTTGCTTGCGACATTCAAACGCAGGAGAGCTGGCTCTTTTTGGAAAACGAGTGTGAAACAGGGCCACAGATTCACTAATGATTTCCACTTGAATTGAATGGCCCAGATTGTGTTTGCTCCTTGGGGCAGCGATTTCTGTGGTTTAACACATGACTAAACATAGTTCTTCAACCATTGAATTACAATTAGGCCGACCCCGAACTACTGCTGTTGGCCCTCTGCGCTTAATAAAGAACGTCCGGTTTTGCGCTGTTTGATCGCAGCATGTTCTGTGTTTCCAATGAAACGCAGGAAAGCCTTGATCCCAGAACGGGTCACAGAAGGGTTTTGCCCCCAAAATGGCCAAAATTGAGTAAACGTTGTTACTTCAGAATTATTTTGGTCACGACGCTGTCCCCCTGGCGCCGGAATAATATCAAAGGTGTTAGCAACCTCCCCACCCCCCAACGATAAGCAGCTTGAGCCGGAAAACTGCACAGCCTTTCCATTTGAGACATTTCGCCCTCAAGGCCTTTGGGCATGTTCACGCAACCAATACGAAGTTTAAAAAAACTTTGAGAAAGCAACAAGCACGGCACGCCGTACAGTACCATCTCCCGCACATCAAGCAGGCAGGACATGACCGAATGTGAGCCGGGTATGGCAAGGGCCAACGAATGCAGGTGTCAAAGAAGTGGGGCGCCCCGCCCCGCGCACACCGCCAGGCTGCTCCAGTGGCGGGGCGAACATGCTACAACGCGCAATAACTGTTTCTCGCTTGCGACATTCAAACGCAGGAGAGCTGGCTCTTTTTGCAAAACGAGTGTGAAACAGGGCAACAGATCCACTAATGATTTCCACTTGAATTGAATTGCCCAGATTGTGTTTGCTCCATGTAGCCCCAACATTCCGCGCCCTTGAAACTTTGCAAGTTTTCGAAAAGCCGCTTCGCACCAGGTGATGGCGGTAGATGGCTGGTCCGTTGCTTGCCGCTGCAGGGAGGGCATCATCAACAACAGCTGATAGCATCTGCAAGTTTCTGCGCGCGTGCACACTCGTCAGTGCCTTCCTACCCAACAGCATGTTCGGGCAACAGAGCTTGAATCGATTTGTCATGCCAAAATGAAATCGGTGTGGAATACGCCCCCCTGCCCACATGGCACGATTCGAAATCCGAGATTGTGAAATTCAGGATTCGGCAGTTGCGTGTAAAGCTTCGGCAGAGCGGGAGGGAAAATTGCGTATAAAACACAGAGTGGATGAATGAGACCATAGAATTAACGCACACGCGCCCGCTGAATGCAAACTACGTCATCCGACGCAGCAAACTTGACACCGCGTTGCAATGGGGGGCAAAGTAGCTGCCACGACCATGTGTAGATTGTAAAGCCCAGCATGGGCAGCATCCAAGGCAGCTTGTACATGAGATCAGCGAAATTGTAGTGATTTTAAATTGTCGTAAGTCGGGAAGTCCAGACGTGCAAGGTTGTAACAATCCATTGTGTCCTTGCAGATTTGCGACGTTGAAATGCGTTCGCCTATTGCCACAGTTCCATATAACCTGGCGTTGCTTATACCTTCCGATGCCGAAAGGTTTCATTGTTTTTGTTATGACGCCGGTGCTCGCCTGTACTGATTGAAGGCATGCAGTTCCCTGCGAGCAACTTGGCATCGCATTAATCCGCGAAGGGGACAATGCCAGTGAGACAGCAGCCTGCCCCACCATGATCACCTAAACAAATTGACAGCAGAACGGATTCACGCGCGGGCAAGCAATTTTGGGATCCTCACTGAGTACGCATTGGACATTGCGCTGTGGCACAGGATTGCATGTTCCGTCGAGCAATTTGACCCGCGCATGCTGATGAAGACACCGGGTCGACCAGAGTCGCTTGGCTTGCACATGCATTTGCAAAATGCGCTCGGCCAATGTGCAGTGGATTCACATGTGAGAGCTTGAAGTGCGGCAGGGCAGTCCCGATCTTGTGCAAAGAAGCTTGGCTGCCTGAACTTGCTCGCATCGTCCGAATTGTTGCATGCTTTTTATTAGACACTGCACAAGCTGGTGCGAAAGGTGTACGAAAAAGTCAACTCCGAGAACACTTACAGCACCTTGGTTCTGAAACGTTGTCATTATGCAAGTAGACAAATTCAGCTGTTTGTGACCAACGCGGTCGGCCTTGCGCAGGTGATCAACTGATATGCCGCTCAAATTGGATTCCTGTAAGGCAGGTGATGTTTAGAGTCCTATACATGTTGTGCAAAAACTTACATTCCTGCGCAGGGACGCCATGTTGGCATTTACTGTGACAAAGGGCGGCGAGTACCTGATTGTAGCAGAGTTACCAAGTGGCACCAGCCACGTTGAGAGGACACAGGGGTTGCCGCAGTGGAGGTTTCAGAGCACATTCGCGTGATTACGATGCTCAGCCACATCAAGCTGTAGACTTGCATTTCCCTGCATCAGGATGATCTTCAGGCCCAGGGCATCATGAAACGCTATGTGGATGTGGTAGAATCGCCCAAGTTACCATGAGCAGAGCGAATTGTGCGTTGTGATGGGCGCAGTTCCTTGCAACATCAGTAATGCCCAGGTTCTGCGCCCTCAGATGCATTATTCCTTGCAGGTGTTACGCGTCGCAGCCCTATGTCATGGTTGCCGCGCACAAGATGTCCAGGAAGCACAGGCCAGGAAAGCAGACGGAAATTTTGCAAGTGAAGGATGTTCATTGGAAAGTTATGTTTGCGGCGCATGTTGTTGTTGCCAAGGTTGGTTCAAACGCGCCGCTGGGTAAATATGAGATCTACAATCCGCAAAGCAGTCTACGGCACATTGCTTGCAAAGCCGAGGGTTGATGCCGAGCTGAGGAGCTTTGCCTGGTGCTTCGCGACTGTCCCTGGTTGGCTTGATGCAACCCGAAGCAATGGACAAAGATCAACCTGTCCGGGACCAAGCGGCAGCATGCTGCCAACAGGGGAGGCTGTCGGTGCGGTTGCACAATTAGCTTACAAAGGCCCAGCCGCAGCCTAAGTGAGCAGCGGTTTTTTTTACGCTAGATCAATTATGAGCACGCAACGCAGTAGCTCAGCAAATCCTACTCCGAAAACGGGTTTTTCCTGTGTCTGCGGAAGGACGCGGAAGCTCTGCGAAAGCATTTCTTCGCGGAAAGGCTTGCGGAAACTCAAGTTTTCAGAAACCCTGGCTCTCAACATGCAAGTCGAACCAGCTATGTGTCATCCCAACCATAAGTCCTAGACTTAAGTCCAGTGGCTTAACCACAACCTTGAAGCCCTGAACGAAGCCTCTAGAACGTTTTCAGTAGCATGTCTTCTTGGGACCATTCAGGCAAGCTATCCGAAAAACATCTCTGGGCACACGACGTTCGTGGAAGCTCCATAGAAGGTCCGCGGAAGCCCAACATGCTGCACTGGGTCCATACCCATACCTTTGCTTCCAAAATCCTTTCTTCACTCCTATGGGAAAGCCCCAAATGAGTTGCTGTTAATGCGGCCGCACGCAGCTGCCAAATCGCAACTTCACTCCTTTTGGAAATCACTACTGTCATTGTGGACGCGTGTAGCATCCAAATCTCAACTTGTTTTCCATGAAAATCTTCGCGTAAACGTTACCGCTTTTCTGAAAACATGTCATCTCAGCTGGAATCATTTGTCCCAATCTCATATTCATAATCCGTGCTGTTCCTGTACCTTGCTTCTCTACCCAAGAGAGAGGAGTCAACCGAAAAAAAAACATGCGCAGGAACTGTTGCCGTATTCTTCGAAGACCTTTGGCGGAAGCAAATCCCGAAATCCAGCCGAAAAACCTTCACGGAAGCAGCCGCGGAAGGCAGAAGCAAAAAAGACTACAAGCGCTACTCGCGGAAGGTGCGCCGAAGGCCTGCGCGGAAGGCGTAGTTTCTGTAATAGATCTTAAAAAGAAGAAAAACCACCGCTCACATTGACGTTGAATGAGCCCTTTAAGATTTGTACTTCCAACTTAGAACAGAATTCTCGAAGTCAATGGGCTTGTTATTCACCATATGAATCCTTTACTACACGTGTTGCAAATTCTAGACAGAAATTCTTGAATCCTGGGCTCCTGTTTGCCGTATAAGCCCAATACTAAACCTATTCACATTAAAGAGGAATTCGCGCGCTTTGGGCTTCTTCTTGTGCCTACTCATTTCCGGAGAAAGTACGTCTCAAGTTTCAAGAGCAGTTCGCAATTATGTACAACATCACATCTATTGTATAGAGAGAATAAATATCTAAACTTACAGCGCATTAGCTTGCCAGCTAGTCTGCGTGGTCCGGCCCAGAGGTAGCTACAGGTTTTCCCCGGGCCGAAATTTCTGATACACCAAGCCTTCTAGCAATCCGTTCATGGTGCGTGCTAGGGACTTGGGCGGGAAGGGGGACCGAGACCGAGGTGGCCGGGTATTTTCTCCAAGAGCGGTCGGTGATAGTTGAAGTCTTCGTCAGCTGAAACGCAAGCCGATGAGTTTTGGCATCAACTGAGAGTCTGACTTGTGAAAGCTTCTTGTAAACTCCGGCTCCAGCAGAAAGCAAAGCTGCTATAGAGCGTTGTGTTCATGTCTCGCCCGGCTTGGGTGGGACTCCATGAATCCCTGCATCTGATCTGGCTTATTGGAGTTTTGGTTTCCGCCTGTAATCTGGATTGTTGGTGTTGGACTAGTGGTGGCCACTGCAGAGCAAGTGCTCACAGACAATACTTGCAAGCCGGCGCACCTGCTGCAACGGCTCTACTCCAATCGAGGGTCCAAGACGCTCTCCAGCCGGTCTGCTTTGCAGTCGCGGGCGGCGTGCCGGCTGGCTCGCGTGGAGGTCGGATTCACACTCGCAGCTGCCAAAGAATAAGGTTTGACTCCTTCACCGATTGGGCAAGAGCGCTGTGCGTGCAACGGGGTCATTTGGCAAGTTTGTTGAAGCTTTCGCTCCAGAACAGGGCCATGGTAGGCAGCATGATGTTTTCCCTTGCCCTCAGCGCGATTACAAACCAAGCCTCGTGGCAGTTCATCGGTGTGGAATGCGCTGCTGAAATTCATCAATGTCGCGGTGGCCTCGCTGAACTGCCTGTGTGGAATCAATCGTGTTGCAAGTGCGCCAACCAGACACACCACATGTCAAAGGGTCGTGATGGGTCACATAGTTGCTCGCGCTGCGGACTTCAAAGTGTGCAAGACGGTGTTTGGCGGAGAGCCAAATTAGCTTCGAAGAAGGCCTTTCCAGAGGCTCGCCGGAAGAGTACGCCAATTTGGTGGTCAAACAGTAGCGTTGGGGGAAATTGATTAGGCCTGTCCACTACTTGCAAGGCGGGTGGCGCCACTTTCGCTGTCAGTTGAGGGGGGTTTGGCATGGCAAGCGTGTGTCGGAGGCTGCCCGGGCTCCTCCTAAGCCTCGGCACTTGGCGTCGCCAACTGTTTTGAGTTGTTAAACGCGATGCTTCTTGCTGGTTCGACCAGTTGAAACTGCCTGTAACTTTGCGAGAATACATGGCCAAGCCTCCACTCTCTTCTGCGGTGCAGGGATGCCGATTGAAGAGCGGATGCAACACCTGGAGCTTGGACAGATGTGGAGGGCCGGGCAGTTCTTTCTGCTGCGTCAGGTGTGGCCCCCGGGGATTTCCTGGTCTTCATGTGTCGCGCAGGAGGAAATGGTGAGCGTCTGTCGGGAGGCAGGTTTGCCAGAAGAGGTCTCATCCGCGCTGCAAGATACATGGCGATGATCGTCACCATGTGCTACTTGAACGCTTGCGAAACCGCGGTCGCTAAGACAAGTGCAGCAGCTGCTCGGGGCTTGACAGTGGTTCGACCTGACCTGCTGGTGAGGCCCAAGCTCTCCGTCTACAGCGCCGTCTATGGCTTCACTCTGGCAACGATAACGTGGTCACCCTGCTACCTGAAGTCGTTATGGCTGAGTCGCTGAGTTAGTTTGCAGCGTCATTTTCGGGCATCGATCTGTTGGATTGTAAGGATCCGTCAGGGTCCGTTTGGCATAAGGGTGCCATGTCTTAACGGACTCCTATGCTGGAAATGGCAAAAAACTGCAAAAGGGCTGAAGGTTGCCCAAAACCTTCTGAATCACCTGAAAAGGTTTGAAAAGCTTCAGACTCGGCTGCAAAATGGTTGAAAACCCTGTTGCTCAGTTCCCTTTGCCATGTTTCTGGCTGAAAGTTGCTGAAAAAATTCTGAATCGCCTGAAAAGGCTTGAAAAGCTTCAGGCTCGGCTGCAAGATGGCTGAAAGCCGGGTTGCTTGTTTCTTGCTGCAAGTTGCAATTATCCAACAGTTGGATTGCGATTTGACGCGGCCTTTTCTGCCACCTTCTTGGGCGCGCTGGTGCCAGTACTTCTTTCGGTCTTGGCAGCTGCCGAGCAAGCGTTTCACAGGCTTTTGTCCGGGGCGTTGCTCCTTGGGCACGGCACAAGGAGTATAGCGCTGGATGGCGGCGCAGCTGATCGGCTCGGCGTTGGTCGTTTGGCGCAGGGACGGCGTCTCAACCTCAAGTTGGATGATTTCTCAGATGTGTTCAGCGTCAAGAATAGGTTCCGAGGGAGAAGCTCTCGTGCTATTCCTCCGGTGGCTCTTGCAATTCAAGAGTCATCGCTCGACACGGGTGGTGGTGTTACTTGACTCTGCTGCGCTGCTTGCAGCGGCAGCAATTGGCCGTTCCTCCTCGCTGCTCAACAGACTGCTCCGCAAAGTTGTTGCTTTAGCCCTGGCTGGCAGCATTCATCCGCGTCTCCTCTTTGTGCCCTCTTCAGAGAACCCAGCTGACCTCCCTTCACGTGGCAGAAGAAGGGGACACAAGCGCTATGCAGCAAAGGCCTGATGATCATTGCGGTGTCCTGCTTGTCCGAAAGCATGATGTGCAAGCAGCCAAATCCAGCCATGCAATGCAACACAATGCAACATATAATTATACCTTTTTGTCTTGGTTCTTGAGAGGGTTTTATCTGAGAGAACTGCCATCGCTCGGTACGCCGGGCGCTCTGCGGCATACCGGTGCAACCCGCGTGTTGGTGGTGCCCCGACAAGCAGCTGGAAGATGCTTGGTGCTGATGCTGCGCACTCGGGTCACTGCAGGCCTGCTCCACCTGCAAGATTGTTTTGTGCGCTGGCTTGTGGAGTGTGTCCAGTACTGTCGGTTAGTTCTGCGAGACATTCACACTCCTGACAGAATTTGAATCATTTCTGTTGTCGACCGTATGCACATGCGCATGGCCAGTGCCGGTAGTTGGGCTTGGAGGCAGTTGCACTGGAAGCTGAGTGACCTATCCACCTCAGCTTTGAACAGCATTTTCAGTGCATGGCTCTTTTCTAACTCACTGGCAATTCTTCTCCTGTTCAACAGTTCCTGCAGTTAATGTTCGCTGGGTGTGTCTTGATCTGCTACAGCGGGGAGGCCGAAGCGAGAGGGCAGCCTCACGAAGAATTTTTTCCGCTCCGTGCGGGGCAAGGTTGCGCGCTACGGTATGTAGATTGTAGACACATAAACACGCTACCAAGTGGTATGTTGAGTTTCCGATTATTTTGGGTTTCTTGTTGAGTATACTGTGCGTGCTTTTGTTGGCAAGCCGTCAAACGCCCGAACACCAAGACAACAACCCAGGAGGCACCAACGAAACAAGCAAAGCGAAGGAGCGTAGCGAATTGAGTGAAATATTAATAAGTGAGGAAGGGAAAGAACAAATGAGAGAGGGAAATGAACGAAATGAAGTAAAGCAAAAAAGTGAGGGCAGAGAACCGCGTGAGTCAATGGACCAAGATTATACGGGAACGCCTGGTCACCTTGTGTTTCCTTTATTTGTTTCCACTAACATTTTTTTTGCAGGCTTTGTCTAGACCAAATAAGTTAGATTGGGTATTTTTTCACAGATTATTGTAAAACCCTAATCGATCTATAGCGTAACCTATTTGTTT